TTTTTTTTATCTGTGCTCTATTTTTTTTTATCTGTGCTCTATTTTTTTAATCTGTGCTCTATTTTTTTATCTGTGATCTATTTTTTTTAATCTATGCACCATTTAATTTTTTTTTTATCTGTGCTCTATTTTTCTTTTTTTAATCTTTTAAAAATCTGAATCTGATAAAATCTAAAATGTTCTATTTTATTTTAATCTGCCATATTTTAATTTTTTTGTCTGTTTGTTTGCCCTGTAACTTTAGTTTTCGCTGCAGCACAAGGTCGGCATTGAGGAACGCCAGGTGCTTCAGATGGCCGAAATAGGGCTTGATGCATCTCACCTTTATGACGTGATCAATGGCCTCCTCCACCATCATCATGTCATGGCAGATCATCAGATAAGCCAGAAACAGAGTCGCCGAGTGGCTGAGGCCCTGTGTGCAGTGAATCAACACCTTACCTGGAAAGAAAAACAGAATGACGGTCAAAAAACTCATTGCCAGACTATAGGACACTTGATGAAATATAAGAAATTGAGTGTGTGTGTGTGTGTGTGTGTCAGCTCTTACTTGTTGGGTTCCTCAAGGCCTTATGGATAAATTTGGCTGCTGGCAAGAAGTACTTGCTGATGTTGGCCCAGTGTCTGAACGAAGGCAAGCCACAGTAAGTAATGTTCATGCCTCTGTAATATCTGGACCCTGTATTGACCGTTCCTAGTAGGTCTTTCTCGCTTGCCATTCCCAACAAGAACTTCAGGTCCTTCTTGGGCGCTGCAGCGTTTAGGATATGCATAATTCCCATCTCCTTCAGTTTATCTCGGTCCCATGCAGTCTCTCTGCACAAAAACACAACAGCCTAGGTTGGTCTTTCGATTTACAATGAAATGACAGAGCTTTTAAATCAATAAGAGAAATATCATTGTCTTTGGTACTCCTGCAATACATTATTAATTCAACACACCGTATTTATTAGTAGACTACTTACTCATTTCCAATGAAGACCCTGGGCCAGACCTCAGTGACAGGAGTCTTGGACAGTGTACATTCCCTCAAACGATCCTCCAGCTGGGACACGTTTAGACGGATGTAGTTTTCCAACCTTGAAAGCTCTGATGTCACTTCAGTTTCTGGCTCGGGAACACTTGGATCTGGTGCACACGATTCCTCTGGATCAACCAGATCCACTTCAGGTTCTGGCTCGGGAACACTTGGATCTGGTGCACACGATTCCTCTGGATCAAACAGATCCACCTCAGGTTCTGGCTCGGGAACACTTGGATCTGGTGCACACGATTCCTCTGGATCAACCAGATCCACTTCAGTTTCAGGGATACATGATTGCTCTGTATCGACCAGATCCATTTCAGGTTCTGGTTCGGGAGCGCTTGGATCTGGGACACACGATTCCTCTGGATCAAGAAGATCCACTTCAGGTTCTGGCTCAGGAATGCTGGGATCTGGGACACACGATTGTTCGCTATCGACCAGATTCACTTCAGGTTCTGGCTCGGGAACGCTGGGATCTGGGACACACGATTGTTCGCTATCGACCAGATTCACTTCAGGTTCTGGCTCGGGAACGCTGGGATCTGGGACACACGATTGCTCGATATCGACCAGATCAGTTTCAGTTTCTGGCTCGGGAGCACTTTGATCTGGGACACATGATTCCTCTGGATCAAGAAGATCCACTTCAGGTTCCCCAACAGCATTCAGTGCATTTGTCTGGAAGATTGCAGTCAATCGCTGGAAGACTGCACTTATTTTCTTGAACATCCACCCAGCAGTGCTTTCTGAAAAAAAGAAGAAAACAAACTAGATAAGTAAAGTTTGATAACAAACTTGACCAAACCCTTGTCTGACAGTTTAAAATAAAAGCTTGAAGTTTAAAGGTTTTACTCGGAGAATTCAGAGAAAATCAAAAAGTTACTTTAAATCCCATTAGACCTCATCTGACTGCTAAGAAACCACATCAAAAACCAATTAGACCTCTACAAACAACTATGAGTCCTGTTGCTAGCATTTAGTATCTAACCATTTTTAGCATATAGACAGATAGACAGAGTGGATAAACTATAAACAAGTCATTATGGGCAAAGGTTTTTACCCCCGAATGGAAATCTATCAGTGTTTGGGCCTGTTTAGAAGCTGGCTACCGTAATTTCGTAAGCCGAATCAGTTAGAAAAGATATAGCAACAAAATTCCGATCAGCCTGAAGGTCCCTGCCAAATTTGGTGGTCTTAACTTGAAAGCTCAAGGAGGTGTTACTCTTGGAAAATTAGGGTGTCAGAAGAAGTGGATAAATAATAGGAAAACAGTATTGCGTCTTTCTCAAGCCAACATAATAATACACTATCAGAAACATCTCTGACCACAAGAATAAACATGAATAAGACATATAAATGCATGTCTTCACCTGTCGGGCTGTTCTCCTGATCATTGGCCTCTGGGTCACTCAGATCTTCAGACACCAGCGCAGGGCTCTTCAGCTCGGAGACGCTGCCGTTCCTGTTCATCTCCAGCTGCAAATCTTTCACTTCACAGACTGAGATGTCCTCATTTTCATCAACTTCCAGTTGCACGTGCATCTCTCCTGGACTGCAGTAACCGACTGAGACGTGATCGTCCATCACAACCTCCAGCTGCACATCTATCTCTTGAGATGCGCTGCTGCCGAGCAGGTCGTAGATGGCATCAGAGATCTCAAACTCCAGCTGCACATCTTTATCATCTGATGCCCAGTAACTTTCCCCGGAGTAGAAGGCGCCGTTGAGGTAAACCTCCTGAAGCACCTCTCTCACCTCTGTGGACATTGTGTCTGGTGTTCCGATACTGATACTGACAGATAAATAATCTGTATTTAACAATGTACAGTTTTCAAACTGACTGTTTGTGTCTATAAACTGTATCAAGAGACTCAATAGGACTGGCGTCTGGCCTATAGTTGTAAAATTACCCTCAAACTCGCCTAAGCTCTTTGTCATTCTCAATTTATATACCGTGCTCTGTGACGTCATCGACACGTCACAATTCCACAGTTGCCATAGCAACGGAATGTCAGCTAACGGCAGCGAAGTTCAACACAGCAGCTTGTAAGTTTTCTCCGATTCTCTAATTCTCTCAGAAGTGATTAAAGAAATACTTCAAAAACACAAATAGCTTTGATCATATTACACGTACAGACTGGATTTCAATCGATGCACTGGTTTTTAACTCTTCATAGTAGTTTGCTGCGACGCGAACTCTCCGGCGCCACAACATTAAAAACAATCATTTTTACCCGATTATGAATGTCATTCTCCAGTCTGAACTGATTGTGGTATTAAAAAGACCGCGCGCGTCTTTCTGTGAAGTTTCGCGCAGCAGCAGTTTTAACATTAAGTGACATGACATCTGACGCACAGATGCCATTGGCACATGCCACTATGCTCAGTGACACTTCCGGTGGCACTTCCGGTTTTCGGTGGACAGTGGGGCTGTTTCTCTGCTATGGGTACAGGATGACTTCACCGCATTGAAGGACCGATGGACGGGGCCATGCACCGTAAAATAGACATATAAATACCAATGAGGCGTCTAGGTATTTATATGTCTATGACTAAAACTTGTGACACATGCCACTGAAAACCGGAAGTGTCACTGAGCATAGCGGCATGTGCCAATGGCATCTGTGCGTCAGATGTCATGTCACTTAATGTTAAAACTGCCTCTCGTTTCCCGGTCCTCGAAAACAAACACATGACGCCAGTGTCCGATTCAAGAACAAATTACTCATTTGAGCAGCGTCTGGTCATGATTCATTTTCACTCACGTTCCTGGTTTGAATCAGTTTAACGAATCCCTGAATAAATTCTTCAGTGGCTACTGAATCAACATCTGATCTGACCTAGAAGTTATCGCTCCGTTTCGAAATTACGCGGTGGTATAAAGCCCCAAATACCACCGCGTAATTTCGAAACGGAGCGATAAATTCTAGTTTAGATCAGATGTTGATATAAACATAATATATATGTTTATATATAATATCAAGTTGATATTATATATATATACATGGCCGCTGCTGGCCAAATGGGTGCCCTAATCAGGATTGTATTGTTGTGCCCCCCTTCCTCAAATATTATGGAAGTAAAAAAAAAAAAAAACCTACTATAGGGGTCAAAATAGAACTTTAATAAAATATAAAAGTAAATAAATAAATAAATTGTATTATTTACAAATTACAATTGTAGCTCTAGACAGTTACCTATGGCTATGACTTTATTAATACAGTTGTCTAATTGATTTTATAGTCTCAAGCATTCAGAAATAACGCAAAAGAAAATTAAGCAGTTTTACTACGATGAAACCATGGTTTAATTTTGTAAGGGTTGTGATGTCCACATGTTTTTTGTTGAAGAAATTATAGAGGCTGTGTCATCTATAGCAAAAAGCTGGCCAAAAATGAAAGATTAAGTGAATATTTGAATTAAATGTTTGGCCAATAGCGTAAACAAGGATTTGATCGTCCTG